AGAAGTGATTATCCAAAGGTAAGAGGCTTCTCTGTCTTTGAAGCGATATTGGTGTGATGTGAATCAAACCATTCATGCAGAGAACAAAAGCACTTTTGACTCCAGGAGCCGGCTAAGAGGGTAACTTAAATAAACAGGGAGGAAAAGAGATATAGGAAAAGGTCAACTGAGTCAGAGCTCTCGGGCTCTCCTGCTGGAGCAGGGCCCAAGGCTGAACAGCTGAATGGAGCTTGCAATTATTCACTGGACTCAGAATGTTCACAGCCTGAAGTCACCTGAAGCCTGCCGTGAAGTCACTTCAGAGCGAGGGAGGTCTGGAAGTTCCTTTAAATATTTCAAAAGATCTAGTGGAGCACTTCTCCAAGTAGAGTTCAAAAGAACAGGGAGATCTGGCCCACCTAGAGATGAGGACAGTACATGCTAAAAAAGGGCGATTGGGGTAGCATGCCATGAGGAGTTCTATGTGGGATAGCTTGGTGTGAGGCCTGAACATCTGTATTTCCTTTAAAGTATGAAATGATGTCAAGGGAACATGCTTGCAAGGAAAATATTCCTCAGTAGCATCCCAATTTCCTCTGCTTTGGCTGAAATTACCAAGCATGGCAGGTATTTGATTAATAAACGTGGCGAGACAAGTTATTACATAATTACCATTACTTAGTAAAGTCAAATCCATCAAAACATGATTCCACGGGGACACTTTGTTTCAGAGGATTCATATAGTGAAACTTGGAGATTAATTGTCTTTAACTGGCCTTCTCTTCCATTCTCTGCTAAATAATTTTGTCTAGAAACTTCTAAACGGAATAATCCCCAGTAGAAGTAATCTTCTCCTCTCTTCCTCCTCTCGCTCATGTCCTTCATATGAACTGCTTTTTCTGAATGGAGATGTTGCTACTGGCCAGATGCTTGGTGTCATGGGATGGAGCCCTGGCTTCTGAGACTTTTTGCTACAGAACAAAACACCAGCAACCTGGCGGTATGCTTCGCAGACAAGCTATTCCAGGGCCAGTCTTGCTTAGGACCTGCCACATGGCTCATGTTCATCTGATACTGATTACCAGTAAAATGGCTGAGTTCTGAAGACTTGGGAGAGAGAACTAAAATGTAATACATTTTAATAAATATAGGATAATGTGAATCTAAAAGCATCCAAGAGGAAAAACAGGAGTCCGTCAAATTCAGCAGTTGCTGAAATTCAATGAACAAGTTGTGTATATACTTAGAGGGCCAAGGAAGTACACTTAATGAAATAGTTAGGGAATGGAGAGTCCCCTGCAAGGATGGTTAAAGGTCCTGACTGTGAACCCATCACTTCTATCTGCAGTTACAAATTTGCTGTTGTGCTGGCTAATTTTATGTCAACTTGACACAAGCTAAATCATCTGAAAGAAGGGAACCTTAATTTAGAAAATGCCTTTGTAAGATCCAGATGTAAGGCATTTTCTTAATTAGTTATTGATAGTTGGTGGGTGGGGCCATCCCTGGGCTGGTAGTCCTGGGTTCCCTAAGAAAGCAGACTGAACAAGCCATGAGGAGCAAGCCAGTAAGCAGCACCCCTCCATGGCCTCTGCATCAGCTCCTGCTTCCAGGTTCCTGCCCTGTATGAGTTCCTGTCCCAACTTCCTTCAGTGATGAACAGTGATGCTGAAGTATAAGCCAAATACTCCTTTCCTCCCCAACTTGCTTTTTGGTCATGGTGTTTTCATTGCAGTAATAGAAACCCTAACTAAGACAACCATCTTGGCAATTACCACCGAGTTCCAGCAATATTGTCGGAAGACATCTTCCCATTGTGCCACCTTAAGTTATGAGCAAAAGTACATGGGAAGATACCTCTGGATAGTTAAGAATAATATCCACCAGGTCCTTTTTGGTAAAACAAACAAACAAACAATACAAAAACAGTAGCTATCAGTCGCTGACCCACATCATCTCCACTGGGTTAACAGGAAGACTCAAACCAAACTCTACCACACATACAGAATCCAGTGAGAGACCAAAGTGAACAGCTAGCAAGATCTTTAGTCTCTCTACTGAAAATATGATTGTCTCAAATGTTGCAGCCAAACTGCGTGTCCTTAATAGCAAGAATGCCAAAAGCTTATTCCTGCCATCTATTTTGCTAACAAGTGACTATTTCCAAGCATTTCTATTATCGTTACACCAATTAGACAAAATATCTGGTGTTGAGCTGACATGAAGATAACTAACTACTCTCAAAAGCTGCCCGTGGAATGCAACCTCGCTGATCAAAACATGACCTGATGACATTTGGAGTGTGAATTCTTGATCTGAACTACTACCGAGTGCTCCTAGTATTTAGCCTACTTTCACATACACACATTCGCGTACAACTCAAAGTAGGTTGTAGGTGATTAGTTCATCCTTTTTTTATTGCTAATAAGCATATTTTTAACGGCAGAAAAATGTTAAATAATATAAAATTGTGCACTAGGACAAAAATGTATTCTCATATGAAGAAAGATATGTTTACTTGATATCAGTTGGTCTTGCAATCTTAAAAAATTGTGTCCTATTAAAATAACAGACCAGCTTATTGATTCCAATTTAAAATACATGTTCAGGATCTGGAGAGATTCAGCAGTTAAACAGCAGTGGTTGCTCTTCTAGAAGACCTGGATTCAAATCTTAGCACTCACATAGTAGCTAACAACTGTCCCCTCCAGTTCTAGGGAATGATATGTCCCCTTCTGCCCCCCAAAACACAAGGTACACATATGATGTGCAGACATACATTTAGACAGAACACCCCTACAATGAAATAAAATAATTTTGGGGGGCGGTTTTTGAGACAGGGTTTCTTTATGTAGCCTTGGCTATCCTAGAACTCACTCCGTAGACCAGCCTAGCCTCGAACTCACAGAGACCTGCCTGCCTCAGCCTCCCACGTGCTGGGATTAAAGGCGTGTGCCACCACTGCCCAGCATAAAATAATATTTTTTTTACTAAAATAAAAGATATGTTTGCAAAGTTGGTTTAAATGTTTCAGTCTAAATTAGAATCTTATTTTTTACAGGACTCTAACTCTTAAAACACTTTTAAGTTTTGGTATATTTATGAATATACATTTTAGGAATTTATCCAGAAGCCATCTCCAGAAGGAGAATTTGGATTCCACCCTTACACAAAAAGATAGAGAACTTTGCTTATATTTCCTGCTTATTAATTATCACTGACTTCTTTGTCAAATACTCATACTTTGGGTTGACATGTGCTTGCCCTCTCTACCAGCAAAGAATCATGGGGATAGCACTCCAGGGATCACACAGTATGGTGTAAAGAGCCTGGAAGAGAGAAGAGCTTGGAAAATGCGGAGAATGAGCATTTAAAGTACGAGGCTTGTAGCAAGGCTGTGGTGGCGCACGCCTTTAATCCCTGCACTCGGCAGGCAGAGGCAGGCGGATCTCTTAGTCTGAGGCCAGCCTGGTCTACAGAGTGGGTTTCAGGACAGCCAGTGCTGTTACACAGAGAAACTGCATCTTGAAAAAAAAAAAAAAAAAAAAGGAGGCTTGTATTTCATTCCAAAAAATAAAGGGTCATTGGAAGATGCTAAGCAAGGAGGGACATAATCAGAATCACTCTCTATGGAGACCATAGCAGGGTGTGGGAATAGAAACAGGAAAGCAGCTGAAAGCAGCTACTGCCCCCCTAGATGAGACAGGTCAACAGTGTGCTAGTGTAGCGGGGGCAGAGTAGGCAGACCCTGGAGGGGTGGGGCAGCTGAAGCCAACAGGATATCCATCCGCACATGGCTTCCTTCTGTGTAGAGAGTAATTTCTGCATCCCTCTGATGGGCTTTGTGTCATGTCCACTGACGAGGCAGTAATGATACTTCGTAAGCTTCGGGATGCCCGTGTATTAGAAAAATATCAGAAATGGGAAGACATCTTTGCACGTTTCCAAATGCATACCTCCTCAGACCTCAATATGGCCTACCTCAACCCCCATTCCTTATCATTCAGAGATTCACTGGACGGCTACTGATTTTTAATGTTTATTTTTCAGTTGGATGTGTTAAAGTCGCTTTAATAAAGAATGGCATATACCGGCCACAAAGTTACCTTCATTTAAACTGCCAATACTCTGACCAATACAACCACCATGCTTGCAAACAGTATCAAAATAGTCTTTGGGCAATAGCATGTGCTTTTTGTTCAAGAGACAATTAGATGAAGCAGAGAAAGCTTTAGAAACAGACAGACCTCGGGGCAGATATTGGTTCCCAGCTGACCACCTATGTGACCGACCTGAATTCTTTGGATCTTGGCTGTTTCTTGTCTCCACTGATTCTAGTACTTAATGTACCTTGCATTGGATTGTGCATATGGTAGGTGTTAGTTATTTAGCTGCGTTGTGTTCTTACCCTGCAAGGAAGTGTCACGAAACACGACAGAATCTGCTTATAGAGTTTATTAGAGATAAAGGGATAGAGAGTGCGCAGGCCTGTGGGAGAGACACGTGCGTGGAGAAGAGGAAGAGGAGAGAAGAGAGAGAACTGAGAATATGGCGCTCCGCTTTAAAAACCAGCTGGGGGCGTGGCCAGGTCACATCACTACTCCACGTGTGTGCGTAGATCACATGGTCACGTTGCGCGCTTATGTAGCCATGTAACGTCATGGATTCTGGTCATGCGAGATGCCTTGGCCGGAACTTGCTAGGCGGAGGTGTCCGGCCTGACTGGAATTGGCTAGGCGGAAGTGTCCGCCTGGTAAATGCGACCGTGGGGGTGGGGCGTGTCGTGAACCCTTCAGTAGGCATTCAGAAAAGTGAGTTATTATTATTACTTAATTTTTCTCCATGACCTCTTTCACTTTCCTAATGAGACTGTCCAGAACTAAGATGACCTATACTTTAAGATCTGAAGGGCATGTCCAGTGTGAGGGCCCCGTCCTGAAGGCATATGGCATCTCAGGTATGATGTACACATTCTCCGCTGCATGCACAAATATTTGCAGTAGACAGGCACTTACCACAGGCTGACCTAAGGCTGAGACTTCAAAGCTCGTCTCTTGAGGGCTTGTGGAATCATCTGCCTGAGTGTCGCAGCCTCTAATGCTCCATGTCTTTTTAATTAAAACTTTCATTCCGAGAGAAAGAATCTAGGAATAAAAAAAGCCAGAGTGGGTCCCAGGGCTGCTGAAATTACCCACAGCATAAGCTAAGAGTCTCAAGGTCAAGGACCATTTAACAGAGCTTAGTGAAGACATTTTCAGACTCTGAGAATCTGAAAACCATTCGATTAAATATAATTCTGGGCATCGTACTCAGTTTAGGTCAATTCAGCCCATTTAGGCACCATTTCCCCACTGAATACCTATAATTTGTCACATGCACTTAAGGGAGCCCCCCCCTTTTGGCCACTGTAACTCTACAATTAATTGGAGAATAAATCATATGATAATTTGTTGGTCTGACTGCAAATACCACCACCTTTCATTGTCAAGGTCCCTCATTAGACTCTGGCCTTTCAGATTTTATCTTTGTTGTCTTAAAGGTCAAGGGCTTCTAAGCCTTGAAGCTACCAACAGCCCTCCCAAGCCAGGGGGAATCTTCAAGTGCATTTTCATGTACTGATCCATTGCTCCCATCTCACAGCTCCACCTCGGGAATTCCAAATGTTTGATCTTCAATGAATCTCGCAAAAGCAATCCCTAGCCCGTCCCAGCAGCCTCTAAGCACATGTGATACGCCAGGACCATACACGGTCACTTCTTCCCTTCCTACAGCCTAGCATACAGTTTTCAGCAAGAACCTAGCTGAGAGTAATGACGATGTCACCCAGTTCACCCACTGTTGTGTGGACCCCAATATCTCACAGGTCCTACTGATGGATTATTGCCATGGTGTTTTTGAGTCAAGAGCCACTCTGAAAGAATGACTTCCAGTGATTCAGTTATTCTCAGATACGTGCCTCGTGTTGTTTGGCATGGAAATAACTAATACTCTGGACACTGCTCTTGGGACTTTCTATGGATTGGTGATGTAACTGTAATGAAATCCTATAAGGAAAGCATTGTTACCACCGCACTTTATAGACGGAGGATTGAAGAAAAAATAGAGAGCACAAAACTTGCTAAATAAGAGCTTGACAGAAGGAGCAGTGATCATGTTTAGCAAGTTTCTGGAGGTGAGGGTTTGTGGGCTTGCTACACTAGCATGAAGACCTGAGTTCAGATCCCAGCATCTCTGTAAGAAGTCTAAAGTGGTCACATGAACATCCCAGCACCAGGGACAGAAGGGTCACCAAAGCTTATTAGCCACAAAGCTACCTTCAGGTTTAGTGAGAGACCCTGTCTCAAGGGAATAAGGTAGAGAGTGGTAGCATAATGTGCCTCCACCTGTACACAGGCACACACGCACTGCATACACCACACTCACACACACTCATATGTACCTATACACAGACAATCCCCTCAACCCCAAAAATTTGCTAGACATCGCTATTATTAAATGAAATCCAGTTGATCCAGCTCCATGACCTGAAACCCTATAGGCCAGCAGTTCTCAATCTTCCTAATGCTGCGACCCTTTAACACAGTTCCTCATGGTGTGCTGACCACCCTCCCCCAACCACCACCCACCCATAAGCTTATTTCGTTGCTACTTCATAACTGTAACCTTGCCACTGTTGTGAATCACAATGTAAATATCTGATATGCAGGGTATCTGCTATGTGACTCCTGTGAAAGGGTCATACAACCCCCATAGGGGTCTCGACCCACATACTGAGAACTGCTGCTATGGGCTTCCTCAATCTGGCTTTACTAGGATTTTCCACCAGATAATTCTTGGTTGTCGGGGACTATATGAGTTACTTTTTCTCATTGTTATGACAAATAGCTGAGAAAAGCAAGGAAGAAAAAGTTTTGTTTTGACTTTACCATTTGAAAGCCCCCTCGGCCTCGGTGGACACGGGGACAGGAGCATGAGACAGCTGGGTACACTGTGTGCACCGTCAAGAAGCAGAGAGTGGTAAGAACTGGCTCACATCACACTCCGATCCTTTTCTCATTCTGGGCCCCAGCTCTTAGAAAGGCCCCATTCACATTGATGGCGGGGTCTTCCATTCAATAAAACTAACCTAGGAAACCCCTCGCAGACAAGTCCCCGAGTTTGTCTCCTAGATGATTCCAAACCCCATCAATTTAACAGACGATATAAACCATCCCAGGGCTGTCCTGTGCATTGGAGGATGGTCCACAGCATCCTTGGCCTGGATACCCCCCTTCCCGGCAAAGATTCACTTCACCACACCACACCATGACTCTTTTAAAAAGCACAGGACAACCATCTTTATAATGATAGAACAATTAAAAAAAAAAAAAAAACAACCTTCACTCAAATCCAAAGATTAATATCATCATTAATCAAATGGGTCCTCATGCAAAACAGAATTTCAGCTTGCCCTCCTCATCGGCCCGGCCTGTGTTTCCTCCTCCTCCTTCTCTCCATAAAGTGGAAGATGCTTCACAGAAGGCCATAGGCTGCTTAGCTGGGGATGTTTGTGTTCTTCAAATCTGTCACCGAGGCATTCAAAGAGGTGTGCAGCTTCTCGGGCAGTAACAGGCCAATCTCGAAGCATGCCACAGGGTGCTTCAGATTCCTTTAATCATCTTGAAGGTGTGAAGAGAGACCAACACAAACAGAATCTCAATTGCTCAGCCCACTTAGAGCAGGCGACTTGCTGCCTTCTGTCCTAACTGTGGCTTAAAAACCTTGAGGTCCATGGGATTCTAAAAGATTTATGCGCTTGTATGTGCTTATATGTGCCCAGTGTGCCAGGATCTCGCACACGGGAAAACATTGAGAATCTGATACTCTTGCACAGGTTTTCCATATTTTTCCTGGACGAAAGATAATCGGGGTGATGTTCTCTCAGCTTCTCAACTCTCCCTCCCGAAGAGGATGCCTGTGGTACTCTAAAAACTCCTGTCAGAGTGAACAGGCCTCACAGCCCATGCATATCTCCTGAGTCAGTAGGGATTGGATGTGATTTACATCCAATCAATAAACAGCCAAGGAGCTGTTTGTGCAGAGCTTATTTATGGTGGACTCAACTCAAGCGAGTCGTGCCATGCAAAAACCATCAGCCATCATGACATCTTTTAAAAAAAAAAATCAACTATTCTCACTTGGAATAAAAACAAAACAAAACAAAAAAAATAATAAAATAAAATAAAAATAAGTGCAGCCGGCTTTTGAAATTTCTCACACTGCTGGGACTTCTCCGGCAACAGTTTTGTGAATGCTGCCACCATTCATGCTGTATTTGACCTATGCTCCACGCTACTGCCTGTGCTGTGCCCTCCCACCCACAGCCTCTCTGGCAGCTGCTGCCGCACAAATTTCGATGAGAGGGTGGCTTTCTATTGCTGCGATAAAAACACCATGACCAAAGCAACTCAAAAGGAAGCCACTGAACTGCGGGCCTGCTTAAAGTTTCAGAGGCTGAGTCCACGACCACCATGGCGGGGAGCATGGCAGAAGGGAGGGAGGGAGGGAGGGAGGGAGGGAGGGAGGGGGAGAGGGAGAGAGAGAGAGAGAGAGAGAGAGAGAGAGAGAGAGAGAGAGAGCCAACTGGACTGGCATGGGCATTTGAGAGGACAAAGGTCACCCCCAGTGACACAACTCCTCCCACGAGGCCACGCCTCCTAATCCTCAGATGCATAAGCTTATGGGGGCCCTTCTCATTCAAATCGCCACAGAGAAAAGAAGAATCAAGAGATCTTAGCGCCATCATTCTTCCTGCTAGACACTTATCCACAGGGAGACTCGGTCATCAACCACAGAGTGCGGACAGTGGGCGGTTAGGTGGCCAGACAGATCGATCGGATTCCTTCAATTTGTTTTTTTTTTTTTTTTTTTGCGTTCTTCATTATAAGCCATCAACTGTCACAAATGTGTTACCTGTGTCATCACACATAAACTTTAGAGCAATCTTTTTAAGGGCGTCACCCCAGTCACCATACTAAAGATAGAGAACAATTCTACAATTCAGTTCCGTGTGCTGTCTTCAAAGGGTCATAACTCGGGCAGGGGGAGAGTCAGCTAGACAGTGTATGGGTACATCCACAGCCAACTCAAATGACCTCTCTTGGAACTTACAGCAGATCTGGGCATGACTCAGATTTACCACCATGAATCAAATATATAAATGAAAGAATAAATTTAGTATCTTCCTTATAAAATCTATTAAGAAGATGAGAAGGTGGCTAGAGATGTAGCTCAGCAGTTAAGGGTGCTTGCTTCCAGAGGACCAGAGTTCAGTTCCCGAGACTCACAACTGGCTGTAACTCTAGTTCTAGGAGATCCAATGCCTTCCTCTGGCCTCCACTCACATGCATATACTCACACACACATAGACAAACACAAAAACACATAACTAAAGAATAAAATGGACAGGGTGTAGCACTAAATACCTTTTGATCCAACCACTTGGGAAGCAGAGGCAGGCAGATCTTTGTGAGTTCAAGGCCAGCCTAGTTCCAAACCAGCCAGGGCTACATAGTGAGACCTTGTCATAATAAAATAAAACAAATTTTTCTTTTCAAATTGGGATGGAAGAAAGAAATACTGGGACACGCTCAGTATCTGAGTTCCAAAAAACCGATGGGATAAGTTATAATGTGAATTTCTAATTGGTCAAGATTAGCCTTTTTTTAAAGATCACCTGCTTTTTAAAAATAAATATGTTCACATGATGAAAGATTTTTAAAAATAAAACATTTGCTGTGGCTTCACTATGGAGATTCTGGGATGCATGAGTTTCATTTTCTAATCCTGATCTATGTAATCATGGAATATAATTTTGAGAGGCCGTATTTAACTGCAATCTAATTTTGAACCATTTCAGAAAATGTTAAAAATCTTGGGAACCATCTCAGAAATCATGTTTTTATCAGATAAAATAGTATTTTCTGATAATTTTGTCAAACATCAAAAAAGGAAAACATGTTCTGGATGAGGAAAAACATTAAGTGAATACAAAGGTTTATTCAAGTTCAAACAAAATATCATTCCATCCTTTCCATGTGTCTGAATAATTCACAGAAGTAAAAAAATTAGCTGTACTTCTAGTACTCAGGAAACTGAGGCAGTG